AGGACTTTCAGAATGTGGGATTTCTAGTGCTAAAACTGTGGTAGTTCTGGTCAAACTAGGATGACTGGGCACCCTAAGTCTACTAACTCACCCGGAACTGGGCCACCAATGCCTCTGCTGCCATCAGGCAGCCTCCAAATCAGGAAGCCAGTGCTGCGGGATCATGGTGCTTCTGCTTCCATCTGTGCCAGCCACATGTGCACTGAGCCACTCCCTGGTTAGCAACAAAAGCCTTAGGCAAATGTGTTAACTTGGTAGAACCTCAGTTCCATCCTTGACCTCTGTATTAGTCCATTCTCACTCTGCTATGAAGAACTGCCCTAGACTGGGTAATTTATAAATAAAAGAGGTTTAATTGGCTCACAGTTCTGCATGGTTGGGGAGGCCTCAGGAAACTTACAATCATGGCAGAAGGGGAAGGAAACACTTCCTTGTTCACATGGTAGCAGGAATGAGAAGTGCAGAGTGAAGTAGGGGAAAAGCCTCTTTTTTTTTTTTTTTCAGAGACAGAGTCTCACTCTGTTGCCCAGGCTGGAGTGCAAGTGGCACGATTTCAACTCACTGCAACCTCCGCCTCCTGGGCTCAAGTGATTCTCCTGCCTCAACCTCCCAAGTAACTGGGTTTACAGGTGCATGCCACTACACCCAGCTAATTTAAAAAATATTTTTAGCAGGGTTTCACCAAGTTGACCAGGCTGCTCTTGAACTCCTGACCTCAGGTGATCTGCTGGCCTCAGCCTCCCAAAGTGCTGAGATTACAGGCGTGAGCCACCGCACATATATATATATATATGTGTGTGTGTGTGTGTGTGTGTGTGTGTGTGTGTGTATATATTTTTTTTTTTTTTTTTGAGACAGAGACTCGCTCTGTTGCCCAGGCTAGAGTGCAATGGCATAATCTTGGCTCACTGCAACCTCTGCCTCCCGGGTTCAAGCAATTCTAGTGCCTTGGTCTTCTGAGTAGCTGAGATTACAGCCATCGCCACCGTGGCCGGCTAATTGTTGTATTTTTAATAGAGACGGGGTTTCACCATTTTGGCCAGGCTGGTCTTGAACTCCTGACCTCAGGTGATCCGCCTGCCTCGGCCTTCCAAAGGGCTGGGATTATAGGCATGAGCCACTGTGCCTGATCGCCATATTGCTCTTATCACAGTAACTGTTAAGTCATAATTAGATTTTATTATGCACTTGGATTACTACTCATCTTTCTTGCTTGAAAGATAAAAGGGGGTGGAGTTAGAGCAATGCTTGCCACTAAATGGGGCATACATAATAAAATCCTCCCTCCGAGCTTGGCATACAGGGCCACACTGGTTACTGCTTCCTACCTCCACCGTCACATCCTGCCCTCCACACTAGGACTTTACAACCTTTAACATCTCCAGACTTTTCCCTTTGCCTAGAAAATCTTTCCTTTCACTTCTCTTACTGGCTGGTGAAACTTGTGCCCCTCAATCCCTTCGTAGGGGGCTCAACTCCTTCATGAGCTCTTCTTGTTCCACATCATGTTGGCCATTCTGTCCTCTGAGCACCTCTTTATGGGGTATATATGCCTATTATTTACTTTTCTATCTCTCTTACTAGGCTAGGTGATCCAGAACTCCAGACCTGGCACATGTAAGACTAATTGGTACTCAATCAGTATTTGTTACATGGAATGAATGAATGAATGACACAGACAATAGAAATCTCTACAATGTACACTGGTAGAAGAAAGATTAGTCAAAATTATGGAATATGTTTAAATCACACAAAAAGTGGCTGGGTGCAGTGGCTCACACCTGTAATCCCAACACTTTGGCAGGCCGAGGTGGGCAGATCACCCGAGGTCGGGAGTTCGAGACCAGCCTGGTCAACGTGGCAAAACCCCATCTCTACTAAAAATACAAAAATTAGCTGGGGGTGGTGGCACACGCCTGTAATTCCAGCTACTCTGGAGGCTGAAACAGGAGAATCACTTGAACCCAGGAGGTGGAGGTTGCAGTGAGCCAAGGCTGCACCACTGCACTCCAGCCTGGGTGACAGAGCAAGACTCTGCTTCAAAAAAAAAAAAAAAAAAAAGGAAACACACAAAAAGTAAACTGAGTGGTAAATTAGAGAATTATATGTGAAGTGTTTTATGGCACTTTTTTGTTTAAGGGATGGGGTCTCACTTTGTTGCCCAGGCTGAAGTGCAGTGACTACTCACACATGCAATTAGAGCACACTGCAGCCTTGAACTGTTGGCCTCAAGTGATTCTCCAGCCTTAACCTCCCAAGTAGTTGGGACTACAGGTGTGCTGTGCCTGGCTAGTTTATGGCACTTTTAAACAGCTTTAAACAATTACTTTCTTATGTAGGTTAAACACCTTCTCAGTTCTCTTCAAGTTATATCCTATTAATTTAATTATTAGTTAAAAATAGTGAGGCTGTGCCAGACATGGTGGATCATACCTGTAATCCTAGCACTTTGGGAGGCTGAGGTGGGTGCATCACAAGGTCAGGAGACAGAGACCATCCTGGCTAACATGGTGAAACCCGGTCTCTACTAAAAATACAAAAAATTAGCCAAGTTTGGTGGCAGGTGCCTGTACTCAGGAGGCTGAGGCAGGAGAATTGCTTGAACCCAGGAAGCAGAGGTTGCAGTGAGTCGAGATCAGATCGTGCCATTGCACTCCAGCCTGGGTGACAGAGCAGCAGTCCATCTCAAAAATAAAAAATAAAAAAAATTTTTAAAATTTTAAAAAATAGTGAGGCCGGGCATGGTGGCTCACACCTGTAATCCCAGCACTTCGGGAGGCAGAGGCAGGTGGATCACAAGGTCAGGAGTTCGAGACCAGACTGGCCAACATGGTGAAACCCCATCTCTACTGAAAATACAAAAATTAGTCAGGCACAGCAGTGGGCACCTGTAATCCCAGCTACTCAGGAGACTGAGGCAGGAGAATTGCTTGAACCCAGGAGGCGGAAGTTGCAGTGAGTTGAGATCGTGCCACTGCACTCTAGCCTGAGTGACAGAGCAAGACTCCGTCTCAAAAAATAAAAAATAAAAAAAAAAAAATAGTGGCAAAACCTGTGATTACTTTTGCACCTAGTAAGCTTCCTCCTGCTCCCGTTTCTCAGCACAAAAGTAAAACTTACCCAGCCTGGGATGAATCACCATAAATTGTGATTAGTTGGTCTAAATTAAAGTAGATTTATTTATTGATTTACCAGTGAATGATTTATTTGTACCCTTGGTTTTGATTACTAAAAAGTAGCTCTTTTTTGAATAATCTTTATGCTGCTGCTGAAGAATTCTTCAGCACATGAGGATCTGTATTTTTCATCTTTTTTTCTTTCATGTGTGTTCCATTCAGATCAGGAAATTGACATTTCAGCTGAGAAGACTTAGGCCAGATGTTAGTTTGCTGGCTGAAAGATGGATTTCCTGCCCCAATAGGTGACCTCTGAAAGCAAAATAGGCTTTTTCTTAATGGATAGACTGTCCAAATGACCTCATTTCTAGAACAAGGGTTCTTTGTTAAGTGTCTCTTTGCTATTGGAATCAACATCATCTGATTTTTGAGAACATTCATTAGATAGCTAGCACCTAGTTGTTTCATTTATAAGGCATAGGAAAAAAATTATGCCTAGACAATCCATTTAAAAAAGAATTGTGTTCATTGAGAGGGAAATGGTGCAGAAAATCCGGTGCCTGCTCACCCATATTAATAATGTCTTTTAGATTTCAAACCTCATTCAGGCCAGCATTAACCATAGGAGCAGAGCATGTTATGTACTTCCCTTAACGGGGGATTGTTTCACTAAGCTTGACCAAGGCACTATTTAAAGAAGTAACCATGACCCCAGTGTCCTGTCACTTGTAGCTTCTGTCTCCATATGTGAGAAACTCATTGAGACATTGCCATGGTGCCACCTCTTTTGATGAGTTCTTCATAGAGTTCATTTATTTATATCTTCAATTGTATAAGGCAGCTCAGAAAAACTGAGATAACTAAGCCTTTATGTGTGTGTGTGTGTGTGTCTGTGCATCCGTGTGTGTCACAAAAAATGCAATTAGAAGGAAAGTACTCTGGAGAGGAACATGGCCTTCAACCACAGGGGCGAGTCCATATGACTTACTGTACTTGGTAAGGAGAAGAGTTAGATGGCTGAAGGAAAAGTTGAGTTTTCTGTCTTTTTTTTTTTTTTTTTTTTTTTTTTCAGGAACAGGAATGGGAGTGTCTCTTTGTAAGGGCTGGCAGATGAATTTTACCAGTATAAAAATCATGCTCCTTCTGATACAAAAATGTTGGCATTTCCATGAAAGACAGAGAACAGACATAAAGAGGGTTAACCTCAGGGCTCCACCGTGCATCTGGCACTCATGGGTCTTCCTCAAGTAATTACTTGGTAGACCTGTGACTTAAAAAATGAGTAGTAAAAAAGGGTATCGAACTTTCCTTTATAATGACTCAACACATACTTTTCCCAGAATGTTATATTCAGCTCACTGTCTTTTTAAAAAATACTCATGCAAATATCATTAATCATACGTGTGATGTTGTTGTTTACCCAAAGTATTGTGCAAGCATACATCAACTCTGGATAAGACTGTAATGATCTTCTGTTTCCTGGGATGAATTATGTGAGTGAGAATCTTTTGTTCTATGCACGTAACATGATGGCATCTCAAAGAAGCAGAGCAAGAGTTTTAACTGGAGCTTTAAAATGTGTTGAAAAAAAATATTTTCCATAACCATGTTTAAGAGCACGAGAGACAGCCAAGTGGACATTCCCATAGGGTAAAATTTATTAGAAGACAAGATTGATAAATCAGTTTGTTTGGTGGATACTTCCCAGCTGCACTTTTAAGTCTTTTCTTGCGTAACTAGGAAACAGTTAACAATCTCTGGTCTCTTATTAACCCATTCCCTTTTATTTTTACTTTTTTATTTTATTTATTTGTTTGTTTGTTTATTTATTTATTTTGCATAAGAATATCACTATTTTCCCTCAGGTAGTTTTTCTAGGGCTTCAACATTTTCTCTTCAAAATCAGAAGAAAAATATCCCAAAGTTTAGAACTGGATCACTTGGCCCTTTCTCTTCTTATCTCCTCCCAGTTCAAAATGCTTGCATCTTTTAACGGCCAGCATCCTCTTGGATCTGCAGTTAGGCTCAACACATTCCAGCCTTAGCACAATCTTCTTTGTGGTCTTAGCCTTCTTCCGCAAAATGGGCTTTGTCTGCCCACCATAGAAATGGGCTTTGTCTGCCCACCATAGCCACTCTGCTTCCGATCATAGCGCCTCTTTCCCTGGGCATACAAAGAATCCTTGCCCTTCTTATACTGTGTCACTTTGTGAGGCTGATGCTTGCCACACTTCTTACAGAAGGTTCTTCGGGTTTTAGGTACGTTGACGATCTTTGCAGCAGGGCTGTTGTCTATATGATGAAAACGAGAAACGGCATCCGACACCCTTGCGTAGCGCAGCTCTCGCCTAACAGGAAAGACTTTTTTATTTTTTCTGAGACGGAGTTTCCCTCTTGTCGCCCAGGTTGGAGTGCAATGGCACGATCTCTGCTCACTGCAACCTCCGGTTCAAGCGATTCTTCTGCCTCAGCCTCCCAAGTAGCTGGGATTACAGGCGCCCGCCACCACGACCGGCTAATTTTTTAATTTTTAGTAGGGACGGTGTTTCGCCATGTTGGCCAGGCTGGTCTTGAACTCCTGACCTCGGGTCATCCGCCAGCCTTGGCCTCCTAAAGTGCTGGGATTACAGACTCGAGCTACCGCGCCCGGCCCCTTTTTTATTTTTTGTATCTCCTAAGCAAAAAAGAGAAATAGCAGGAAGTGTGATTCTAAAGATCATTTCCCTCCGTGTTTCCTTTTTTTCTTCTGTCAGATGGCTTTCATATAATCTTACCGTTCTCTGTAGGAGAGGCGGTTCTCATCTTAATTCAGAAGTAACTTGATGGTGAGTTGAAGTCTCTTGGTTCCTGCCTTAAACAGTATGGGATGCAATTCACAGAGCCCACTTTTTTGATCCTCATGGGCATCTGTACACATCTCGCCAGAAATTTGCTGCTTGTCTATAATGTGTTACCAAATTTTTCCAAATCTTCCTAGGTCAGAATTACAAGTGGCTTTAGAAATCACCTAGTCTGACCCCGCTGTGTATAATAAAATACCTGTTGTGGTATTATTGATGGAATAATTCCCAGGCAGAACTTGTTTTTTGGTTTGTTTATTTGTTTGTTTGAGACTGGAGTCTCGCTCTGTCACCCAGGCTGGAGTGCAATGGCGTGGTCTCGGCTCACTGCAACCTCTGCCTCCTGGGTTCAAGCGATTCTCCTGCCTCAGTCTCCCAAGTAGCTGAGATTACAGGTTCCTGCCACCACGCCCCACTAATTTTTAGTAGAGACAGGGTTTCACCATGTTGGCCAGGCTGGTCTCTAACTCCTGACCTCATGGTCCGCCCACCTCAGCCTCCCAAATTGCTAGGATTACAGGTGTCAGCCACCGCGCCTGGCCAGAACTTGGTCTTCACATAGCATCAACACAGATGAAAACCTAACTGGCTATTGCCTATCAGAGTAGAATAAAAAATTTCAGAGAAAATTTTGCTCGCTTTGTGGCAAAACTTGAATTGCAGCGGTACAATCAGGGCTCATTGCAGCCTTGACCTCTCAGGCTCAGGTGCTCCTCCCACCTCAGCCTCCCCAGTAGCTAGGACTACAGGGACATACTATAGTGCCTGGTTAATTTTGTGTAGAGATGGGGTCTCACTTTGTTGCTCAGGCTGGTCTAGAACTCCCAGGCTCAAGTGATCCTCCTGCCTCAGCCTCCCAAAGTGCTGGGATTACAGGTGTGCATCCCCCTGCCCTACCCAGCCCAGAGAAAAGGATTTACATCCCCATAGCCTCACTTGGTTTATTTCCTTTCTCTCCCTGGCCTGTTCTGTTTGCATTCTGTTTTAATTTCTTTTTAGTTTGCCCTTAGCTCTTCTCCCACTTCTTTCACCAAACACTCCTTGATGACGGGCTTTTTAACGGGTAATACTTTAGCATGGGCTTGGCTCACCTGTAAGGCATTTGTGGAAAAAAAAAATGGTGTGAATTTGTGACAGGGAAAATGTTTTAACATACCAGTCTTTCCTTGAAGTCAGTTCCCCCAAGGCATTGTGGAATGCCCCACATAGGAGTGCCAGAAAGGACTGCTGACTGTAGGCAAAAATTAAATGAGCTTATCTACTTTCATTGCTCAATTTCAGCAACAGTGAGTATGGTGAAAAATAAATTGGAATATTTATAATCTTTCAGATTTAATCTCTGCTATAAGCAGAAAATGTGTTGTTGTCATCTGAAACAAATAACAAGTATTTAAATGAAAATGTGTTCCTAAAACATATGCTATTCTTAGGGAAAATGCATTTTAATTTCAATATTTAATTGTCTGCCCTTTAAAACCAAGTATCTCAAATCCAACAGAGCTTAAAAAAAAAAAAAGATAAAACCAAATATCTCCAAATATCTGATTTCTTCATTAACTTGTCTCATGATAAGTTAGTTATTTTGCCAGTGAGTTTTTAAAAATAATCTACAGGCCTGGTGTGGTGGCTCATGCATGTAATTCCAGCACTTTGGGAGGCTGAGACAGGCAGATCACCGAGGTCAGGAGTTCGAGACCAGCCAGGCCAACATGGTAAAAACCCGTCTCTACTAAAAATGCAAAAATTTAGCTGGGCTTGGTAGCATGCATCTGTAATCCCAACTACTTAAGACACTGAGGCAGGAGAATCCCTTGAACCCAGGAGGTGAAGGTTGCAGTGAGCTGAGATCGTGCCACTGCACTCCAGGCTAGGCGACAGAGCGAGACTCCGTCCAAAAAATACATGAATAAATAAAAATAAAAACAATCTGCTGGTATAGATTTTTAATACACTGTATTCTATTTTACAATTTTACCTTTCCTCAGCTCCTCTTCCTTACTCTGACATACCTATAGTCTGCAGGGGCTTTCAAATTTGAGCACTAATCACTATCCTCTGGGGAACTTGTTAAAAAAACAGATTGCTTGCTTTAGCCCAAGGAGTTCGAGACCAGCCTGGGCAACACAGGGAGACTCTGTGTCTACAAAATAATAATAATAATAATAATAAAATTAGCCAGGTATGGGGGTGCATGCCTGTAGTTCCAGTTACTTGGGAGGCTAAGGTGGGAGGATCCCTTGAGCCCAGGTGTTCAAGCCACTGCACTCCAGACTGGGTGACAGAGGGGTCTCAAACAAACAAAAAATCAAAAAACAAATTGGTGGTTCGACTCCCAGAGTGACTCAGTAGAAGTCTTGAGGTGGAGCCTGGAAATTTGCTTTTGTAACAAATTCCTTGGTGATGCTAATGATTGAGTTGTAGGTGTGTACTTTGAGAAGCACTGCTCTAGATAAAATATCTTTGTTGTTGTTGTTGTTGTTGTTCTTGTTGTTGTTGTTGAGACGGAGTGTCACTCTGTCGTCCAGGCTAGAGTGCAATGGTGCGATCTCGGCTCCCTGCAACCTCTGTCTCCTGGGTTTAAGCAATTCTCCGGCCTCAGCCTCCTGAGTAGCTGGGATTACAGGCATGCGCCACCACACCTGGCTAATTTTGTATTTTAGTAGAGATAGGGTTTCTCCATGTTAGTGAAGCTGGTCTCAAACTCCAGACCTCAGGTGATCCACCCGCCTTGGCCTCTCAAAGTGCTGGGATTACAGGCATGAGCCACTGCACCAAGCTAGATAAAATATCTTTTTTTTTTTTTTTTTGAGGTGGAGTCTCTGTGTGTCGCGCTGGGGTGCAGTGGCGCGATCTCGGCTCACTGCAAGCTCTGCCTCTTGGGTTCAATTGATTCTCCTGCCTCAACCTCTCGAGTAGCTGGACTACAGGCGCCTCCCACCACGACTGGCTAATTTTTTGTATTTTTAGTAGAGACGGGGTTTTACCATGTTAGCCAGGATGGTCTTGATCTCCTGACCTCGTGATCTGCCCACCTCGGCCTCCCAAAGTTCTGGGATTACAGGCATGAGCCACTGCGCCTGGTGATAAAATATCTTAAGAGATGATAGCAGTGTGGTCTCCAGTGGTGGTAATGGAGGTGAAGGGAAGTGGATGACTTTGGCCTAGTTTAAGAATTCGAGGCTGGGCACAGTGGCTCATACCTGTAATTCCAGCACTTTGGGAGGCCGAGGAGGGCAGATCACCTGAGATCAGGAGTTCGAGACCAGCCTGGCCAACATGGTGAAACCCCATCTCTACTAAAAATACAGAAATTAGCCAGGTGTGGTGGCACGCACCTGTAATCCTAGCTACTCAGGAGGCTGAGGCAGGAAAATCACTTGAACCCGGGAAGCAGAGGTTGCAGTGAGCCAAGATCACGCCACTGCACTCCAGCCTGGGCAACAGAGTGAGACTCCATCTCAGAAAAAAAAAAAGATAACCAGGCATGGTAGCGGGCACCTGTAATTCCAGCTACTCAGGAGGCTGAGGTAGGGAGAATCACTTGAATCTGGGAGGCGGAGGTTGCAGTGAGCTGAGATCACGCCACTGCACTCCAGCCTGGGTGACAGAGTGAGACTCCATCTCAAAAAAAAGGAAAAAAAAATAATTTGAGGCCAGGCATGGTGGCTCACGCTTGTAATCCCTGCACTTTGGGAGGCCGAGGCAGGTGGATCTCCTGAGGTCAGGAGTTTGAGACCAGCCTGGCAAACATGGTGAAACTCTGTCTGTACTAAAAATATAAAAATTAGCCAGGTGTGGTGGCATGTGCCTGTAATCCTAGCTACTCGGGAGGCTGCGGCAGGAGAATCATTTGAACTGGGGAAGCAGAGGGTACGGTGAGCTGAGATTGCACCACTGCTCTCCAGCCTGGGCAACAGAGCAAGATTCTGGACTAAAAAAAAAAAAAAAAGAATTCAAATCAGCAGGGCTTACCTGTGGTTTAGATCACAGTGATGGTGAGGGAAGGGAAGGATGAAGTTGGTAGTTTGAATAAATGAATGGATATATCCGAAGACTGAAGCAAGAAAGGAGCAGGGAGGGAGAGTTGGATCACGGTGGGAAATCATAAATTCCATTTGAGGAATGTTAAAGTTTCACTGAAATACATCTAAACCTCAGCTCAATGCCTGGCAGAGAGTAGATATTCCATAAATGATGACAGCAATGGTTATTGCTGCTATTACTACCTTTACTATGAAAACTGAAGTGTCCTAATCACCCCGCCCCAGCCGAGGTAAACTCCCAGCTCCATTCCTCAGCAATGGCATTCCAGAGCTGGAGCTGACTCTTTTGTATGATCACAGAGACCTAGGTATACACAAGGAAATTTCCAATGTATAGATGTAGCCTCACTGGATGAGTGGTGGGGGAAGGAAAAGCAAAAAGAGGGTAAAAAGAGAAAGCTTATAATGATGAATTATAATTCATCAAGGTGCCTGTGTCATCACAGATAACCTCACAACAACTATATCAAATAGGTGGAATTTTCCCATTTCACAGATAAGATAAATAACTCACCCAATGTCTTATAGAAACTTGAATAAAAATGGAAACCTAGCTTTGTCTTGACCTCATTACAGTTGTGCTTTCTATCATGAAACTGTATCTTTTTTTTTTTTTTTTTTTTTGAGATGGAGTCTCACTGTTGTCACCCAGGCTAGAGTGCAGTTGCAAGATCTGGGCTCACTGCGAGATCCCCTGTTTAAGAGATTCTCCTACCTCAGCCTCCCGAGTAGCTGGGATTACAGGTGCCCACCACCATGCCAATTAAATGTTTTTGTATTTTTAGTAGAAACAGGGTTTTACCATGTTGGCCAGGCTGGTCTTGAACTCCTAACCTCAGGTGATCTGCCCACCTCGGCCTCCTAAAGTTCTGGGATTACAGGCATGAGCCACTGTGCCCGGCCCTGAAATTATATCTTTACTGCTGTTAAAGAGGTAAATGCAGGCACGATAAACATTTTAAAAGAGTTTATTTGAGCAAACAACATTTCATGGACTTGACAGCTTTAAACCAGAAGTGGTTCAGGAACTCCACCAAGAGAATCTATGGGAAGGCTTTTATAGGACAGACACAGAAGTAAAGCAAAGAAAACATTTGATTGGATACAATTATACAGTTGCCTTATTTGATCGATCTCCTGTGAAAGTTCATAGCTATAAAAGTTTGTTGGCTACTTCTGATTAGTTGAGCTTAGTCCTGTTTTTCTTTAATACAGGCATTTCTAAGAGTTAGCTCAAGTTAAGTTTTCCTTATGTGTGCAAATCAAGAAAGGTTGAGTTCACTTATAAAGTCTAAGTGGTTTTGTCTTCTCAGGATTACTCAGACCTCATCTCTATTTTACCTTACTTTAACCATGCCCAGCAGTAAACTAGTTAGGTTTCTTAAATTGACATAACGACCTAAATAGGCTGAACCTATACTCTAAATACCCCAGAACTTGTAGACTAATGCTTCTTAACTTTTGTAATTCTGGCCTACAGTAAGAACAAGTTTTTGTTTTGTTTTATTTTGTTTTGTTTTGTTTTGGACAGAGTCTTGCTCTGTTGCCAGGCTGCAGTGCAATGGCGCAATCTTGGTTCACTGCAACCTCCGCCTCTCAGGCTCAAGTGATCCTCCTGCCTCAGCCTCCCGAGTAGCCAGGACCACAGGTGCCCACCACTACATCCAGCTATTTTTTTTTTTTTTTTTTTTGAGATAGAGTCTGTCTCTATCACCCAGGCTGGAGTGCAGTGGCATGATCTCGGCTCACTGCAAGCTCCGCCTCCCGGGTTCACGGCATTCTCCTGCCTCAGCCTCCTGAGTAGCTGGGACTACAGGCACCTGCCACCAAGCCCGGCTAATTTTTCTGTATTTTTAGTAGAGACGGGGTTTCACCGTGTTACCCAGGATGGTCTTGATCTCCTGACCTCATGATCTGCCCACCTCGACCTCCAAAAGTCTGGGATTACAGGCGTGAGCCACCGTGCCTGGCTAATTTTTGTATTTTTTATAGAGATGAGGTTTCACCATGTTGGCCAGACTGGTCTTGAACTCCTGACCTCAGGTGATCCCTTTGCCTGGGCCTCCCAAAGTGCCAGAATTACAGGCGTGAGCCACTGTGCCTGGCCCTAAGAATAAGTTTTTACAAAGCAAGCCAGTGTAAACATTTATCTGTATATGTGTGTGTATATGTATATATGTGCTGTACATTTATCTGTGCAACAATATCATGGAGACTAATTTTCAATAAGTAACAGAGATTGCTACATTATCAATATTCTCAGTGAATGCATTGTGGTGATAGTTTTCACTCATTTGTGACAATAAATGTTTATTATGAGCCACAGAATTGATTCTGAAATCAACTTTTGGGTCTCTACTAGAAGTCTAGAAAAATCTTCTACATCACTTTCCTTGGAATTCACTCACCCACAGCAGGATGATTTCAATGAGCTGGATGAGATTCCTGACGGTAAGAGAAAAAGGGGAGTAGGATTTCGGTATACCCATCTTCAACGGAGTATCTACACTTCCCTTCCTTGAAGAACTTTGTGGGAATCAAATGGAGTATGATAAGATGAAAGGACTTTTAAAATAATCAGTTTGGGTCTGGTGCAGTGGCTCACACCTGTAATCCCACTACTTTGGGAGGCTGAGGTGGGCGGATCACTTGAGGTCAGGAGTTCAAGACCAGCCTGGCCAACATGGTGAAATCCCGTCTCTACTAAAAATACAAAAATTAGCCTGGCGTGGTGGCATGCGTTTGTAATCCTAGCTACTGGGGAGACTGAGGCATGAGAATCACTTGAACTCGGGAGGCAGAGGTTGCAGTGAGCCAAGATCATGCCACTGTACTACAGCCTGGGCAACAGAGTGAGACTCCATCTCAAAAGAAAAAAAAAAAAAAGATGTTAATATAAATCAGTTTGTTCTTACTTTAATTCTGCCCCACATAGCTGTGTTCACTTGGACTCATCATTCAAGTTCTCTGGAGCCTACTTTCTCATCTGTAAAATGAAGGATTTGACCTAGATCTTTTTCAAGGCCCTTTTCCATTTCCATGGGGTAGAATTCTAATATAAAATGTTCTTGGTAAATGATACTCTATATGACTCTGAAGTTGTGGTGATGATGATGATGATGATGGTGATGATGATGATGATGGCGATTTCTTTATAAGGAAATGACAACTTTGTTAAAAAGCCCCTGAAGGGGCAGGAGCCTTGGCTCACGTCTGTAATCCCAGCACTTTGGGAGGCTGAGGCGGGTGGATCACCTAAGGTCAGGAGTTTGAGGCCAGCCTGGCCAACATGGTGAAATCCCATTTCTACTAAAAATCCAAAAATTATCCAGGCATGGTGGCAGGCACCTGTAGTCCCAGGTACTCAGGAGGTTGAGGCAGGAGAATTACTTGAACCTGGGAGGTGGAGATTGCAGTGAGCCAAGATCGGGCCATTGCACTCCAGCCTGGGCAATAGAGTCAGACTCTGTCTCAAAAAAAACAGAGATAAAAAGCTCCTGAAGGAACTTTTAGCAGAAAGGACTGACAAGTGACATTAACTAAAAGAGAAAAGAGTCAGTCTTGGGAGTGGTAATCAGATCATGTTGAGTTAACACATGGAAATTGGTAAGTAAAAAGTAGCTGGGACTACAGACCACCTGCTGCCACGCCCAGCTAATTTTTGTATTTTTAGTAGAGACAAGGTATCACCATGTTGGCCAGGATGGTCTCAAACTGCTGACCTCAGATGATCCTTCTGCCTTGGCCTCCCAAAGTGCTGGGATTACAGGAATGAGCAACCACACACAGCCTCAAATTTCACATTCTATGTATAGGCATCAACATTTCTCCAAAAACATTATCTCATTTCCCTATCCATTAAGAAACACCAAGAAAAACAGGGTAAATATCTAAAATAGGTTGATTTCTATAAGTGCCAAAATGCTGGCTAAGCTTTAATTATATCTATCTATCTATCTATCTATCTATCTATCTATCTATCTATCATCTATCTATAGATATATAATTATAAATATAGATACCTATATAGATATCTATATAGATATATTTTTTGAGATGGAATCTCGCTCTGTTGTCCAGGGTGAGTGCAGTGGCATGATCTCGGCTCACTGCAACCTCCACTTCCCAGGTTCAAGTGATTCTCCTGCCTCAGCCTCCCAAGTAGCTGGGACTACAGGTGTGTGCCACCATGCCTGGCTAAGTTTTGTATTTTTAGTAGAGACGGGGTTTTGTCATGTTGGCCAGGCTGGTCTTGAACTCCTGGCCTCAGTGATGTGCCTGCCTCTGTCTCCCAAGGTACTGAGATTACAGGTGTGAGTCACCATGCCCGGCCAGTTTAATTACACTGATGCGGGTATGTGTTGTCACTAAACTGTACATGTCTTTAGATGACCCTGAAACATACTATAACCTGTGAAGAAGCACGTGGCAATTAGTGTGGCCTTGCCTCATCTTGGATGGGGAAACTAACACCAGGTCAAATGCTTTGCCCCAGGTCATCTATGAGTCAAGAAGAATGATTCTGGATTGGTGCTGGAGAGTCAGGCTTCATCCTAATCCCCAGCCCCCACTGCCCGGCTTGCCTGGCTCCTTGCTGGGTCATTTGCTGGAAAGTGTTTATGCAGAGAACAGGCTGCCCCTTGGAAGCAGCACAGTCCTCTGCATCTTCTTAAATTTAAGGCAGGAGAATTTCTTGAACCCGAGAGGCGGAGGTTGTAGTGAGCCGAGATCATGCCACTGCACTCCAGCCTGGGCGACAGGGCGACACAGCAAGACTCTGTCTCAAAAAAAAAAAGTATCACATGGTGAATAAATTGAAATATACCAATACAGTCAACTGTAAAGGCTATTTATCTTTTCCTATCATTTACTTATATTTATTTCTTTATAGAAATGACAATTTAAAAAAAAAACTCATCAGCTTTAACTAAATTTATTTTTATTCAAAGTATCACAGAGCATGAGAGAGCCTTGAAAACCCATCTGGCCTAACTCCGGCATCAGCCTAGGAGAGCACAAGACATTTGGCTGTATTGACTCATATAGTTCAGTGCTCTTTCTACTTCAACACAATGCCTCAATGGTATTAAGGAGAAATGTAATAATTCTTTTGGTTTCCTTTCACAAATATCATCATCAGGGACTCTGTGCAGTGGCTCATGCCTATAATCCCAGCACTTGGGGAGGCCAAGGAGGGAGGATCCCTTGAGCCCAGGAGTTTGAGACCAGCTTGGGCAACAGCAAGAGATTCTGTCTCTACAAAAAATAAAAAAAAAAATTAGTCTGGTGGAGCAGTGTGCCTATGGTCCCTGCTACTCAGTGAACTATGATTGCACCACTGCATTGCAGCCTGGGTGACAGAGCAGGACCTTGTCTCTAAAAAAGAAACACACATTTTTTTCTTTCTTTCTTTTTTTTTTTTAGAGACAGAGAGTCTTTCTCTGCCACCCAGGCTGGAGTGCAGTGGCAGGATCTCACTGCAACCTTTGCCTCCTGGGTTCAAGCAATTCTCGTACCTCAGCCTCCTGAGTAGCTGGGATTACAGGCATGCTCCAACACTCTTGCTATTTTGTTTGTTTGTTTGTTTTTGTTTTTTGTATTTTTAGTAGAGACGGGGTTTTGCTGTGTTGACCAGGCTGGTCTCAGATCCTGGCCTCAAGTGATTTGCCCACTTCAGCCTCCCAAAGTGCTGGGATTACAGGCGTGAGCCCCCACACCAGCCAAAAACACACAAAAATTATCAGGGCTTGTGTTTATATTTAGTTACTTTTGAAAATGTTTTTACATTTTGAACATTCCTGTAAGGACTATTCACCCATTGCATTGATTGGTGCTCGCAGCACTTAATGCTTGAGCAAGCGGAATTCAAGGACATGCTCTTACCCCCTTTCTTTTAGTGGACTCAGAAGGAAAACAAAACAAAACAAAACAAAAAACCCTCACAATCAACAAGAAACAGGAGAGGCCTCAAAACAAGCAAGGACTCTCTTGCTGGGGCATCTCACTTTTTTTTTTTTTTTTTTCTTTTAAACCACAAGGTCCTAACAGAGGAGCAAACTCCATGTGGTTTCTTAACTGTTTCAAAAGTGCTCAATCACCAAATCGAATGTGACGTGCATTGTCACCTTCCAGGAAAACTCTGAGTGGTTTTGAAAGGCAGAATCACAAAAGGGAAAAGCACCTCTCCAGGGCTATTTCCCTTATAAAATAAATCCGTCCTGGAGCTTCTCCCTGGAAAAACACACACAGGGCCCCAAGTGTGTGTAGGCTGAGTGGCTGCACAGTCATTTGAATTTAGTTTCGAAAATAGCCCTTCCCTGTGTCCCTCATGTAAAGGAATAATTAAAACCCAAAGCCCATTTCCCCTAATTAGCCGAAAGCCCTAGCAATGCATGGCATTGTGGGCATTCAGGAGCCAAAATGCACCCACTCATAAAAAATGATCCAAACAATGGCTCGTGCCCAAGCTTTCACACTCGTTTTGCAGAGAATTCTTGGCTGGCAGAGGCAGGGTTGTAATTCCTTGGGTCGCTTGACTTCATGAGGGGCGAGGTGTGCATTGTGGCGACACGGACTACTTGTGAAGCCTTTGGGCGGCAGTCGCTTAAAGATTAACTTTCTCGGGTTTCCGTGACCAAAAGCGTTTCCGTGAATAGCGTGATTGGAAACTTGTGCGGGCCGGAGACCGCGGCGCGGCTGCTCTTTCAACAGGCGATTTGTTCTCCTGTCCGAGGCTCATTTCCATGCAAAGAGCCTGACATCAGAGCACCTTTTGTTGCTAAACGCTTTCTTTAGCCTCGAGGGGAGAGTCATGTGGAGCTGGAAGAGCTCATTTTGAAGAGAGGGGTCCCGGGGAGCTCCCTCCAAGATACCGAGGCGCCGCGGCCACCCCTGCAGGGTCCTGCCAAGACTTGCTAGAACGAACGAGTCGCGTGCCTTAGTTAGTTGGTTCCCGTAACAGGAAGAAACGCCTTTGCAGTGGGTTTAATTGCTTCTGGGCCGAGCGAATTCCCCGCCGTACAACTCAGTGGTGCGGACTTTTCCTCCTGCTACCCTGTTGCTGCGCCGAGCGGGGTTGGAAAGTTTCTGGAGTTGTCAGTCGCGCAGCCCGTGGCCACCTAGAGCCGAGGTGCGGGCGCCTGCGAGGGGCCCCCGCGGGGTGGCCGGGCCGCCGGGGCATGCAGCGCGGGGGCGCGGCTCGGTGACGCCGCGGGCGGGGACCCGGCATCCGGGCCGGCTGCGCGCGGGTGCTGGGCGAGGGCGCCGCGGGGACCGGGACGCACGGCCCGCGCGCGGGACACTGCCATGGAGGACGCGGGAGCGGCTGGCCCGGGGCCCGAGCCGGAGGCCGAGCCCGCGCCGGAGCCAGAACCAGAACCCGAGCCTGGCGCTGGCACGTCCGAGGCGTTCTCCCGACTCTGGACCGATGTGATGGGCATCCTGGTGAGTTACCTGGGGAGGGGGCGGCGCAGGAAGCGCAGTTCGCAGCAGCCCCGCTGAAGACGGGGCTCCCTTCTCGCCCACCCACTGGGCAACCCACTCCGCAGAGGCGTCCTTCTCTGGCTGTAGTTCTTAGGGTGCTAAATACACACGGTATAGGGTTTCAAACCCTAATTAAAAAATAACCAGCCTCAGGTCCCGTCAAAAGGTATTTTTTCAACAATCGGGTATGATATTCAACAATTTAATCTGGGACACCTGCTGAGATGTTGGTGTGGAAAAGGCGAGAAAGAAGAAGCCTTCAAAGAGTAGATGTAAATAAATATTTGGTTGATGCTGGATTAGGGAAAAGGCTGATGTTACTGATGTTTATCTCTTCACCATTTGTTGTGTGACCACAAGAGGGAAAACAAACGTTTCCTTACTCAGAACTACCAAAATGTTCACCTACTTTTTTTTGCAGTTTTTCAGTTTGTGGAGTTACAGGATATTTGTTTTATATGTTTGGGGCTAAAACAATAGGACTTATTTTGCTAAATCTGTGCTGTCATGTATTTTGAAATGTCCAGTGACTAAAACCGCCCCTGGATTTGGCATAGTTTCTGGGAAGCAGTACTTCTGTATGGAGGATGAAATTTTAACCTGCTCAGAGTTGAATACCTTGGGGAAGTAATAGATTTGCTTTGGTGGAGCTCTAGTTAGGCAGGTAGACTGGAATCGGGTGGGTGAGGGTTATTACAGTCAGATATCTTAATCCATACATAAAAGACTATCGGAAAAGGCTCTAGATTTGCTTTGAGATCTTATATTTTTTGAATGGGAGGAGATGGAGTGAAAGAAGTTCTTCTTTGGGAATGATAAACCGTGTACAGTTTTTAGCACAGTGATTAAACCCTTGGGCTTCAGTTATAGTAGGCCAAATGCCAGCTCTCCAACTGACTGTTTACATGATCTTGGTCAAGTTATTCAAGCTCTCTGATCCTCAATTTCATTACCTGAAAATTGAAGACAAGAAGACTTGCTTCTTGGGGTTTCTGAGATTTAGCTGGGTTGATGTGTGCATCAAGTACTCAACAGACTGTCTAGCATATAGTAGAGCCTCAGTAAATGTAGCTCTCTTTCAGGTTTTGTTTGTTTGTTTCCTTCAAACAGTCTCCTGTCTCTTCCTTCTAGACATGCTAAAAGCCCAATTACTCCATTTTCAGGTGACCGTTGGTATTTATGATTCTTACTGTACAGAGAACCAGCGAGGGTTGGTTAAAGATTTCTATCTGCTCTTGTCACTCTCCAGTATTGAAAAATGTATATAAATATACATACAGTGTACATTTACATACTATATATAGCATATATATAATATACCTACATCTAATATATATTTTAGATTTAAAAGGTTTTGTTTTTGCATTTTCTGAACTATACAGGTGAATATGATCCTTTACTGAAGTTCCAGAAAACCCAATGGACATTTTAAAGTTGTGATAAACTGTTTATTTCTTTATTTCTTTCTTTTTTTTAATTTGAGATGGAGTCTTGCTGTGTTGCCCAGGCTGGGGTGCAGTGGCACAATCTCAGCTCACTGCAACCTCCGCCTCCTGGGTTCAAGCAATTCTCCTGCCTCAGCCTCCTGAGTAGCTGGATTACAGGCGCGCAATGCCATGCCTGGCTAATTTTTGAATTTTTATTAGAGACGGGAGTTCACCATGTTAGCCAGGCTGGTCTCGAACTCCTGACCTCGTGATCCGCTTACCTCGGCCTCCCAAAGTGCTGGGATTACAGGCATGAGCCACCGTGCCCGGCCTATAGACTGTTTTTAACTTATCTTGTTATTTCTTGCCTAGACCCAGCTCTAAGTTTTCAGTCACTGAGGAAATTGATTTGATAATATCCCATTGTATCCCTTACTCTAGGGCATTGAGCTGGGGGCAGGGAGGGTCAGGGGCCTGCTGAAATGAAAGTTGGGCTGAGGGTTCTTTTGGGGAAGAGGGTTGGCCGGTGGCATTTTCTGCAGATTTGCTTTCCCTTCCCTGGCAGATTCCAGCACTGTTGGGTCAGTTGTAGTCAAGTGTTCTTTGGCTGAGTTAAAAAATGGGGTGGGGCTTCAGAAGCTCAAACCTGCATTGAAAGGGCAGATGCAGGAGCAAAGAAAATATGTACCTCAGCTAATCATTCAGTATCAGGCTGGGAAGAACGTGAAGCCTGTCCCAGACAGGTTGTGTCTGCTCTTGTTTTCCCCTTGTTTATCTGGGGTAAATGGGCATGGAGATTGTTCCTTAGTAAAATTCAGAGGAAGACATGGCTTACTGCTCCTTTGTAGATGCCTTGTAGGGAGACACTAGGCTAAAAGGGAGGGAAAGCTGTCATCCAAGTGTTTATACAAACTGCGTCGTCGGGGAAATACATCAAGACACAAAATTGACAGTTGACTTTATTCTCGCTGAAACAAGAGACATCATTTCCTTCCTTTTTTATTTAAAATATGAGATTTTGCAATCATCTATCAATCTAGACAGGTGAAGTGACTTGGCCAATGGCACATACCTTGTTAGTGACAATGTTAGACTTGTCCCCAGTCGCTGGCCCCACCAGTAGGGATCCTGATATCATGACGCTCCATAGTTAACTATCTCAGATGAACTCAGTAGAAATGTAATTCAGTATGTTTAGAAATCCTGTGTGTTTTAAGTAAAATGTGACTTACAAGATTTTTTTCCATACTGAATTTGGAGAGGAGAGTAGAGGTAGTCGGGAAATTACACATCTGAACATTATCCTTAACAGATTTCGGACACAGTTCTATTTTACTTTTTCAGATTCTTCTGATTGTGGAAATCAAACCACACAGCCTATCAATACTGTGTGTGGAAATTTGAAATGACACAACTCACAGCTTAGTAGGTAAAAACATTTTTAGGTGAATAAGCACTATTGAGCAGTTGTCCCCCAGGGAATTTTGTTGATTATAACCCAGTGAAAGTATTGCCCCAGAGTCATGGATCTCGGTAAATACAGGATGGTTGTTTGAGTTCATTCGGACACATTTTGCATTTAGATTAATTCAGTCCATGCACAGTTAAGTACCAGATAGTTGCTTTCAGATAATTGTTAACAAAGTGCTCGTTTAGAAAAGAAATAATAGTATAGTTTACAGCAGGAAAATGTTTGAGCAGTGCTAGAATAAATAAATTCTAATAAGTGAATATATAAATGGATATTGAATTAAGAGGAAACAAGCTTGCAAAAAAAAAAAAAAAAAAAGATTACTAGATTGTGAGTGCCTGGAGGGCAGGGTCAGTGTCTTACGCACTTTTCTATCTCCAGTGCTCCTGACTTAACTGGGTGCTGAGAACATGGCTTTGTTGAATGAAAAAGGAAAAAAAAAAGTATGTATTTCTTAAATGCAGGAATCACATCAAAACATTGTTTTGTCAAGACACATGTGCCTGCTGTAATATAATGGGGTGTATTTACAAAGATGTGAATAAATTCTGCTCTGGCTGAAACTACATTTTGGGCAGTTTCATCATGCAAATTAAAATCCCCGTGCTTCCACTGGAAACTAATGGTAAATTGCAACATGTTTGTAAGCCCTGAGCTATGAAACCTTGGTGTTCTTGTGAAATGTACCATTCTTTTCACTAGCACTACAACATGTGGTAGGCCAGGGTTTTCAAAGCATGTCACCTTTCCCTATGACGTATATATAGACTTCTATTGAGAAGCGCAAAACTGAGTTAGAATCCTGTGGAATTTTACCCTTTTTTCTTTACTCCATAGTTGGCAGACACAGCATTCCTTTTGTTAGGTAGGGGAGGGAAGTTGTTTTTAAGAGCAGGAATTGCTAAGGTTGTTAGATACAGTTAGGTGTGCTAGATCCTTTTTTCAGGACTGATTTATCCATTTGGTAAATTGTCATGGTTCTTCAGCTTCTGCCTACAGGATTTGGGGACTTCTAAGGCGAAGCCCAGCCTTTAAATCTGCTTGTTAACTGGGAAGGGGGTTAGTAAGTGCCTATTGTTTGCAGGATCCTGCAAGATGCACCTCGCCCAAACCTGAAATTTCCTCTGTTTTTGCTTTGTTTCTACAATTTACACCCATTTCCCAGCATGCTTAGAAAACATCCATTGTATAGAGATACTCCAAACCTTCCCCTACTTTAATTCCTGTGCAAGCTGCAGAAAGGCATGCATCAGTCCACAGAACTGTTATATTCATCCTATCTTACTATTTACTCCATTCCTAAAAAATTAACAAGAAAACCCGTAAAACAAACAAACAAAATGTCTCCCTCCTTTCCTTTGTTGTTTTAGGCCAAGTGTGGGGGAAGGGGAGATGTTAGTGAGATCCTGAGGGGGTTTTAAAATGCTCACTCCTTTGAAAGCAGTTCATTTACTGGTTCTCTTGGGAGGTGTCCTGAGTTGTGCCTATCAGCTAATGACTTAATTAATTTTACGTCTTGGAATTTGAGAGTCAAGCCCATTTCAAATATTCTGACTTCATCTTAATTGTATGATGTTCCTTTTAGCGCACTGAAGAAAGCCTTGTGGCCTTTCTATGTGCAGAAGTTGCAGGGTTATTGTATATAGTGGAAGGGACTGAAGCGCCCTTGGAAATGCACCCTCAACTCTCATTTAGAGAGGAGGGTTTGGAGGGCTTCTGGCTGTAAAAGACTTGCTCAAGGTAACCGAGAGGAGGCAGAACTCAGGCGTATGGATGTTCACTTCTTTGCCAAAGACTAAGTCAGTGGCTTTCATAATTTTATGTATTTATTTATTTATTTTTGGGAAG